GTGTATCAGGGATTTTTCCCCCACTTGGAAAAACACATGATTCTGCAAAGGCACAAAAAGAGTACCTGCTGCTGCTGCTGTTGTTATTATTATTATGTTTATTATTATTCCTGACATATTTAAGACTAGGCCCTAAATTTAATCCTGGTGAGTGCACTAAGTTAAACCTAATCATAGCCCAAAGAGAATAATTCTTCCTTTGTCTTAACTCTTAGCTCAGAAGTATTGCACAATTTTTAATCTCTTATCAAAATATACAGTTTGTTACCTGAGGATTGATTGAAAGTTAACAATTGTGATGCTAGGTTTTATTTGTATTGAAATTTCTGCCCTCCTCTTCCTTATTACAGTACTTAAACAAGAGTTTAAGAGAAGTCTTCAATAAGAGAAACAATGTCTTGTCTTATCTACAGTTACAGGATAACAGTTCCCCCACCCCCCCCAAAAAATTTGGCACAATTCAAGTCCCATCCAAGTAAATTTGCATATGATTGCAACACAGGAACATGGGCATTTGCAGTAACTTTTCTGGGGAAGAGGGCGTGGGGGGGCGGTATGGAAAGCTAGCAAAATAGGATGTGACTGCGATTTGTAGGCATACTCTTTGCACTACCACAACATACCGCTCACTTCTGATATGTGAGCGGTATGTATTTGTTCTTTAGTGTCATTTCCCATAACAGCAGTCAAGCATAGCACCCTTAAGAATGACACTGAAGATTTTTGGCAACCTCACCTATTTTGTAAGTCTGACAATTTTACATAATATTCTCATTTTCTGAAATAATAATATGAGAAGGTCTCTTACACTGGGCTGGACCTTGGTGCATTCAGTTCAATACTGTCTCAGCTGACTGGCACCAGCTCTACAGGTTTCGGGTTGGAATCTTTCCTAGAGATTAACCCTGAAATTAATATACTTGGCCAGGATTTAGACTTATTTTACTTCACACAGTTGATTTGACTTTTTTTTTTAACCAGCTAACACAATACACTTTTACATGACTTGAATTCTATACTGCCAAGGAGAATTGCACATTTCTTCCTGGAACTGCAAATGTTGTGCCTGTTGGACATTTAATTTGAAAAAAGACCATTTTTAGTCTGGGTCTGGAGAAGCCTGGGCCACAGGACTGTCAAGCCTGATCTTGAGAAATTGCTATATTATGTACACCTTTTTTTTTAATGGTTAAACTCCAGATCCAGCGAATGCATTTTTGCTTTTGGCTAAAATCCTGAAGGGTTAAAATCCAAGGAACGTCTTCAAATTCTATGACAATGTCTGATATCATCCATGGACCAGGTGAAGATAAAGCAAACTGATGTTTAACCCAGATCAGAGAGATGCTCCTGGTCAGTTAAAAGGCAGGTCAAGGCATCGTTAACCATTATGAACATTATTTTGAAAGGAGAAGACATAGATCAAAGACATGAATACATACTCTGCTTGGCTACCTCTTGGTCTAACATGTGATACACACTAAGCTCTGCCCTCTAAAATGGGAAAGGGCAAACTCTCTCAAAATCCAAGCCTGACTCCTAGTGACTTCATGGACACAACCAGACAGTTCTCTTGCCATCAAACCAGGTCAAATCCTGGTTAGTTACTCTGAGATGAGCTGAAATCAGCAAGATGGTCTTGTTTAGGTTTGATAGGAATGGGTGGAACTTTGAAGCAGCCCTTGGGTTCAGTTAAGCTTTGATCTAGCCTGATTGAAGCAGACTTTCCTTTGAAGTGCTGGGTTCAGTACTGGTCTTTTCCACAACCAAGGAAAGGACATGTCAGCCTGCTTCAACATTTTGATTCAAGGTGTTGAAGCAGAGCAAGAAGGATTCTGAGTTGAGAGGCCAGGTCGGTTTATTTTATTCTGATGGTCCAGATCACAGTGACACTCTAATAAAACAGTGTTTCTCAACCTTGACAACTTTAAGATGAGTGGACTTCAACT